GAAATTAGAGGTTTAATTTTATTGCATTTTGCTTTTATTTATTAAAAATTTGAAAGTCGTTTAAGGTGAAAATTTCACATAGTAAAGTGAAGTCTCTCCCCCTACCTACAAGTATTTCTTCTAGAAATTTTGATTGTTCTTATGTATTCATCAGTAATATCTCTTCATTATTAGTTTTAAAAGCCAGTTGCACACTGTATGTAATCTACTTTTTTTTTCATTTGATGTATCATGAGCAGACAACAGTAATTTAGGATGAAATTGAAACCCCTCGGTTTTTTAAAATGACGACTTAGTTTTGTCTTGGTGAAAGTACCTGGTGACTGTTATTTTGCAAACTTGGTCTGATGATGGAGTGCCTGGAGCTCATGATGCTTTTTGTGGAACACCATGAAATACCAACATATTCTGTCATACCAACAAGAAATGTTTTTACTAGCAGAAAATATGCCTGTATTATATTATGACATATAAAACCATGCCAAACTTTAGTGTACATTCCAAACAAGCTGAGAATGACATGATTTGCCAACTTGTAGCTTTTTAAAATTAATATTCATTTGCTGCTTGTACATTTGTTTCCTAATTGTTCTTATGTTTGCTTTGTCATGCTAGCTCCCACTAGCAAAAAAGTGTCTAGAGGCAGCAAAGATTTGGCGGGACAGAAATTTGGGAAAGAAACCTAAATTTGAGAAAATTCTGTTTATTTGCTTAGCAGGGTGTGTGTATGTGTGTGTGTGTGTGTGTGTGTGTGTGTGTGTGTGTGTGTGTGTGTGTGTGAGAGAGAGAGAGAGAGAGAGAGTTAATTCAGTTTTATTGATAGAAAATCTCGCTGTATTTGCTAATAAGCAGCATGGTCCATTGGGAACCTCTTTTCTGAGCTGTTGGTTTAGAACACTACGCATCCCGGGGAGTAGGGGGGGCCTCTTTGCACCTGTATTATTAAATTACAGGTACTTAGGAGCACAGATGAGGGAGCTCCTTTTCTTCTTGGGTAACTTAGATGAACAGCTTGACTCTGCCATTTGATTTTATTGCAACCTAAATCTGTTTTCTTCTCTAAAATATGTGTTAAGCAAGGCAGCATATGATAGATTTTTATTAATGTCAACTACTATGGGTTTTATTAACATTGAGTCAGAAGGAATCTTTGTCATGGTATAATTTTCTACTGAACCTGGAAATTCCATTGCATATAGATTCACCATTTAATTTATAAAATTTGAGCATTTTTGAGAATGAAACTAGTGGGGAAAAGGATGGATTGAGTGGGTGCCTGGAACAATAGGTATAAAGTAGAAGTGTCCTAAGAAAAATGGGTGTGTGGTTACCCAAGCTATGTCACAGCCTTGCCAGGTCTGAACTCTACAGAAAAGCATTTGTTGACTCACAAAAGGGCTGGTGCCCTGGGTAGTTGTAATAATCATGTTTTTAAAAGTTGAGCTATAATTTATCTCCTTGCCTCTGTTCTTATTTCCAGTTTTGCCCTTTGGTACAGAACGTAAGTGTAGTCATAATATGGTAGTATACAAAATATATCAGCTTTTTAGGTACCTTTTTAAAAGAACTTTAAAATAATTTTTCTCAACTTTTCTTGCTGTAGTGCTCAAATTAAAACTTAAAAGAAATGAAATGAGTAGACAAATTTTTTTTAAACCCATACTGTTACTAGGCCAACAACAGCCACACCAACCAGGCTGTGATGCAGTGCACTGCGTGCCGAGCAGAGCACACCTACGCATTCTCACCTTGTACTTTTAGAAAACATTCACTGAGGTATCTGGCTTCACAAAACTTGTAGTTACTACAAAACTTCTAGTTACTACAATAATATTTTATCACCTTAAGATAGAATGAATGGCCATATTGTAGGAGACATGCCAATTAGCAGAAATAGAAGGCTAGACTTCCAGTTAGAATCTGTCATTGTGCTTACAGTGTTCTTGCCATTAAAAACACTCAGTGCTCACCTGTAGAGTCTGGCTGCTCATACTTTTAAGGCAACCCTCTTGTCGTCCATTTTTCTTCCGATAAAAATTCATGGCTCCTTCAGTATGCCACTATTCTTACCTCCTTGATCACTATAAAGGCAGATTTTCATTTCTATGTGCTGCACTATACTGCCCACAGTTTTTCAGGAGGTTCATTGTAGAAAGAGGTGGGTGGATTGCTTTTGAGATGATAGGACACAAAGCCTGGGTCATCACATATAGGTCTTGGTCCCTCCTCACCCCCGTCCCTGTTTTTGCTGTTTAGGTAATTGCTAAAGAATGTGAAATAGAACTGTTGGACACCACAATTAAGGAAAATTATTCCCAAATGGCATTGTCTGAATTGATAAACATGTAATTTGATTTGAACCCTTGTATGGGTGTATTTAAAAGGGAGTTATAGGAAGGCAGTTATAATTTCATTGCTTGCAAAGGTCTCAAAACTAGAATGTTGCATTTAAAATAAATTGAAAGCTATATCTAGTGTGGGTAGAGCCTCTTGAGTGAGTTATTGGGTTTTACTTTTGGTGCATAACAAAGATATACTATGTATAATAATCTTGTAAAAACAAAACTATGCTAGGGCAATAAATTAGGGTGTGTTTACAGGCTCCAAAGTTTATTTTAGAGATCATATGTACAAGTGCCTGTACTTATTCCTTTCATTGTAGTTATTTGAGTAAACTTTGTCAGGTTTTAAAATGAATTTGTCATTGTCAGGAGTACATTTATGTACTGTATTTGATATGATAAGGAATATTACTTTGTGAGGATCTGGAGGAGAGCTTTGGTCATAGAAGATAATTTTTTTAGTAAACTTCATTATATCTACATTTGCAGCCTTAATAGATGTGGATAAGTGGCTTTCTCTTTTTGACACCTTCACTGTTACTTAATTGTTTATATTGTAATTATATTGTAAATATCTGTCCTTTACTTTTATTTATCTTACTTTGCTCATCTGACATTTTTCTCTTAAAACTATAATGAATTAAAGATGACTAGGTGAAGGAGTCTCCTGGGTAGCTTTTACGGGGAAATCACGGGAGGTGCTTTGTAATACAGATGTAAAGTATTGCCAGTCAGGAGGCTGCTCATTTAGTGCCTGCTTTGAAAAGTGCTACAAGTTAATGGAAAGCTCATACAAAATGCATTTATGGTTATTTAAACTTAGAATTCAGTTTCTCTTACTCAATTTTATTATTCGATCCTTGGTGCTATGATGTCTGTGGAAAAAGTTGTCTTAGTAACTTGAGAAGTAATTTAGGTATGTTTATCATGGTTCTGTTAAAAGTTATAATTCATTAACTCACAAAAATATTTTTCTAGTGTGATCACTTACCAAGCCATAGGCAAATAGCTTGGTAATAGAAAATTGCCCATTTTGTGCATATAATTTTTTTAAAGAGGTAAGTTAGTGACTGCTTATTTTGGCACCTTATAATTTGTCTTGAGTTTATGAAATAAAGTACACTAAATAAAAAGGAAGAGAAGACAAGTATTTATTAAATGTCTTCTCTGTTAGTTGTTACACTAGATGCTGTCCAGATATTACTTGACAACCCTATAAGGATTTTGGCTGCATTTAGAACTTACAGGTAAATGCTGAGGCATGAAGAAGATAAGTTTACCAAAGCTCCTAAAAGGTAGAACAGAATTTACATCATGTTTCTAAAATCCAAAATCTGTGTTTGTTTTGTTATACCACAGCACTCAAAATTTGTACATGTACTAGCTCTGTGACAAAATTTCACTGAAGGATTGTTTTTAACGTTGAATTTCGTAAACTAACAGGAATAAATTAAAATAGCGAACATTGAATAATATTACAAACAGTAGTTTCTTTTCAGAATGAGGTTCTAGTTTAGAAGTAACTTAAATATTTTATTAAGCCCTCTTTTCGAAATAAGGATCAACTACAGTACCTCCTTGATAAATCACTTTTTATGATATTGATGCATGTAGTTATCAATTCCTAAAAGATGATTTTTTTTTTTGGTACCAGGGATTGAACTTGGGACCTTGCACTTGCGAGGCAGGCAGTGGAAGCACTGAGCTAAATCCCCAGCCCCAAGATGATCTTTTTAAAAAAAATTTTATTAGTAGATGTTTGTAGTACATAATAATTATAGTCATTGGGGACATACTATATCTTAATTTTTTTTACTTTTTGTTCCTTTACTTTCCATTTAATTCCATGTAATTTCGTTTCCCTCACTTCCATCCCACCTCCCTCTGTTTAATTCTGTTTAATTCGTTTAATTCTTTTGAATTTAATTTCTCTCCTCTCCCTCCATCTTTTGGTTCATAACAACTCTACAGCCATTTTGCTTGGATTTAACTTCTGAATTTACCTTTCCTAGTCTTTGCTATGTTTGACAAGTTTCTGTACTTCCACAATTGATTGTTTCTTTTTTTAATTGAGGATAATAATAGATTCATTCTGATGATTAGATTTCAACATATTATTCCCACATATTGAGCTCTCAGTGAATTCATTGTGATGAAAAGCATTTTTAGAATTCCACATACATACACATTGGCTCATTTTGTTTCAAAAGTAATTTTTTTTTATACTCGGGAAAACTTAGAGTATTTATTACACATTTTTAGAATGTTTATACATTGTTATTGCTCTATATTCAGATTCTATTTCCAATTATAGATTCAGGTATAGTAGAGATGGTATTGCAGCTATGTTTTTAGTTTTCCTGTATATATGTATATAAGTATGGATGGTAGACAATAACTACAAAAGGATTTCACAAATAGGAATGTATTTTAAATCATAACACTTTAAGCAATTTTGAACTTTGTCTTTGTTGTAAAGAAACTGTCAGTAACTTTTTACTGACTGATTATGTGTTTTAAGAATTTTGTTAGTCCTTTAAGATGTTATTTTTGTGTTTGGTTCAAAGGCTATCTTTTGCCTGAAATGATCTTTTAAAATTAGCTTAAATTAAAAAATAAGTAGTATTACATTAATTTTCTTTTTCTTTGATCTCCTAGCTTCACAATGAAGAGGACAATTCAGAATCACCTGCTGTAGAGCAGCCATCTACTTCAAACTCAACACCACAAGTTGTGCAGAGTGCTCCTTCAGCACCAGCACTTGAAACTGATACTTCTCCTCCACCTTATAGTAGTATTACCGTGGAAGTACCTACAACTTCGGGTATGAAAGAACTAGTCATGTCTTTACTAGTTGCTTTTGGAGGGTGCCCTTTGGTTTGTGCAATTAGCAAGTCTTAATGGGTTTTAAGCATAAATGCACATGTATATATTCAGTATATATTCATTTATTACATGTAAATGCATGCATACACACATGCATATACAAATATACAACTGTGCACACATGCATGTCTGCATATGTGTGCACGTGCCTACATCTTTATAAAACAGTATTAATGATGACAAGTGAGTGGAAATGTGTGAGCAGAGGTGAAGGACACACACAGTATTACCCGTACACACAGTAGTAATTCTGAGTACAAAGCAGCGATTCCTGTTTGGTGCTGTTATCTTCTCTATTCAGGTCACTCTAGAGAACTAATCTTAATTATTTCCCTGGCTACAATTTGTATTTCTCAGCAATGGCAAATTAGTCATTATGATGATTGGTAAACTATTATGATTTTGTGTAGCCTTTTGATTTGTATAGTTAACTTCAAAGTCTAAATAACTAACTTCTCTAGATATTTTATATATTCATTATGGAACATTTATTTTAAAAAGTTGTTGAAAAACATTTTAACAGAAAAAATTCTTCACTAGAATATTTCATCTTATTGTATAATTAATGTCGTTTACGTCTCTCAAACTCACATCAACTTTTTCTGGTCGCTATTATGCATTTGCAGTGTATAAGATTGCTTTCATCAAGTTTATTTACACTTTTTATTCAGTTCTGAAAATCAACTTTATGAAGTACTAATTAATAAGTGAATATTCCTTTTATTTTTATATATTATTTGATCAGTGTGCTTGTTCAGTGCAAAATTTCATGTTTTCTTTTTTGCTGTGCGGGGTTGGAGCCAGGGCCTGGTGCGTACTAGGAAAGCGCTCTATCACTGAGCTATACTCGCAGTCCCTCATGGACAATTTTTATCTTAATTTCCATCAGTCTTGTCTTTGGCTTTATGATTTAGGAGTTGGTTTCTTGCTTGGTAACATTTATTAGGTGCTGTTTTTTCTCATTATTTTCAAATTTCCAGAATAGAGCATAATGTATTTGCTACCTTAGATTTGAAAAAAAGAAAATCAATTTGGAAATAGAAATGTAGCTTTGTGAGAGGCCTTGGTTTCAATTCCAAGCACCACCAAAATAAAAATGAATTTGATAATAATTGTTTTCTTGATGACATCTATGAGAAGTGGAGAGTAAATTTATGATCCCTTTTGGGGGGTTATTGTTGCTATTTTGGGGTAACAGGTGACTCCCAATTTCATAAAAATGTCAATCACTCATTCTCATGGTTTTGAGAGTGGACTGGACTCAATGATGTTGTTCTCCCTCAAAGTCTCATGTGATTTTCATGTATGGTGGCCTTCATTTCAAAGGCTCCCTTTTTCACATGTTGTGTGGTGGCTCATTCTGGCTTCAGTAAGAGCTTCAGTTGGGACTGTTGGCCAGAACAGAACGTGGGGCCTCTTCAGGCCCATGCTTCCTCAGTGAATGATGACAGGATTTCAAGAACAGCATTCTCAGCAAAAGTCACCTGGAAGCCATCTCACCTGCTGATACTGCCCCGAAAGTTACATAGTGTCACTTCCACCATATTTGGTGTGTTACAAAAGAGTTAATGAGTTTTGTTCTTCAAAAGAAGATAAATTAGTCTGTACTTTTCTCTTTTTTTTTGAGACAGGGTCTTGCTGTGTAGTCCAAGCTGGACTTGAACTTGTTGTGTAGTGTAGCCAAGGCTGGCCTCTAACTTTTGATGATCCTCCTGCCTCAGCCTCCCGAGTGCTGGGATTATACGCATGCACCACCATACCCAGTTTAGTCTCTGTTTGATGACAGTTTCAGAAAATTTGAAAACTAACTTTTGAAATGACTGCAATTGCCTATTTTGTTTTACCCTTTCACAAGACCTTTTTCTATAGTCTTCCCCATTTTAATAAATGGCTTCAATAGACCAGAAACCCTTTGAACTCATTTTTTTGTACCTGATCATAAATCAAGTGGTTTTTCTCCTTTAATTTTTGTTGTAATGAAAATCTTTTTAGTAGATTTCTTTAAATTAATACATTTATTCTGGATTAAATGGATATGTCATGGTCTAATTGCTTCTAGGTTTAGATTTGTTAATATTTTATTGAGAGTTTTTGCAATGAGTACTTTATGTACTATCTTTGTAGTTTTGGTATTAAGCAACAAAAATGTTCATTTTTAAAAAGTTAAGTAAATTTCGCTATAAAACCAGTTGAACTTGTTATCTGGATGTTTGTTTATTCCTACAGTCTTCTCATGATTTTAATTGAGCACAAGTTTTGTGTAGGACTTTTTTTTTTTGCTTGTTTTTGTAGCACTGAGGATTAACTGAGCACAAGAACTGAATATTTCTAGAATTTTGGATCTCTTTTTAGTGAAAACTATTGATATTTTCTTCTGTTGAAGATTGTATTTTCCATAAGGTCATTTTATGGCTTGTTTTTATAGATCTAAACAACATCACTAGTCAAATGTGATAGTTGCGTAGTGTTTCATAATACATTCCTTTTGAATATATGAGTATGTATAACTGACTGGAAGAAGTGTATTTATATGACCTTGTATGGCATTTTTACATATCGATAGTGTTTTCTAAGCAGCATCTGTGACCCTAATGTCTTCTGATGAATAGCATTCAATAATATGTTGCTGCCATCACTTTCATCCTTGGACTAAAACTGATCTTTTAGATTCTTAGTTCTTACTGATAGCATTACAATTGTTTTAAAATCTGTTTACATGGAAATACAGTGGGAATGGTATTCCCAGAGTATTATGTGTATTTATGTTGAAAATACAAGAAATTCTGATGAAATTGTAAACTAATATGGAAAATATAAAAATACTGTGGTTATGATAGTGAAAATTGAAACCATGATATCAAGAATTGTGGTATACAGAATCTACCTTAAAATGTCAGTGATTCTAACTGATGCTGCATATCTTTACTTGTACTACTTAACGTTAGAAATAAGTGACACAGGGGCTGGGGATTTAGCTCAGTGGTTCCAGCGCCTGCTTCACAAGCGCAAGGACCCGAGTTTGATCGCTGGTACCAAAAAAAAAAAATGACACAATCTTACTTTTTAAAATAAGCAGTCTATACTTACTGTTATTTTATTTCTGTTATTGTATAGTTCATATTTCAAAAATACTTTAAAACTTGGGGAAGGAGAAATACTTAATAGAACATCTAAAATACCAAGTGGATGTGGGAAAAATGGGAGCTAAAAATACAAGAGTGCAAAAGAGTAAAAATTCTTAACTTTTCAGCAAAAGGAAGTGCTGAGTTTGCTTCAGAAATTAGGACAGTTGCTGAAATCAATGTATTTTGGAAAAGTACCACCCTTACAATATCAGAGCAAAATATTGGAGTCAGGAACTCACGGATCTGCCACTTACTTGTTGTTTAATATTAGACAAGTTATTTAATTTTACTGAACCTCAGAGTTACTAAGATTAACATGTATAGAAGCAGTACAGTATATGAAATGGTTGATAGGAATAATATGTTTTCATGTTCGAAATATAAGAAATTTTGATAAACAAAATAATGGATACAGAAAATATAAAAATATTATAGTTATGACAAAATTGAAACAGCAGTGTCAAGCATTGTGGTACATAGAATCTACCCTTCTTTTTTTCTGTTACCGGGAATTGAACCCAGGACCTTGGCTTGCCAGGCAGGTGTGGTGCTGCTGAGCCACATCCCTGGCAAGAATCTACCTTTATTAATGTCAGTGATACTAGCATATCTAACAAGTGTGAATGTTTGTTATTATTATTCCTGAATTTTAAAAATTTTTTTGGCTGTAACGTAATGGGCGAGTAAACTAATTTTTTTATGCAGGCTGATAGGCACACAGAATGTGCTTGTGTATTGTGAAATTCTTATCTCCCTTATCTGAAACTCCTTTTCATAACCTCATTCTTGAGATCCTTTTTTAAAAATGTATCCACCTTTGGATATTTATCAGTCATTTTTTTATACTAAATCTAAGACTAAAATAAGATTGTTATAGTAACTTACATGTTAAATAGAATGATGGAAAAATATGGTTACTGTTTAAATTTTTTAAAACATTTGTTACAGTAAAAGACAGTCCTCTCAAAATATTTCTCCTCCCTTCAAACGCATTTATCCCATTGTTTTAGCCACTTTCTGGAGCAGTTCTGGAAGTCCTCTTTCATGAGTATCTTTAACTGTGCTATTTTGGCTGCCTCAGAATTATGAATCAATTCAAAATGTTTACCTTTCATAGTCATTTTGACTTTGGGGAAGAGCCAGAAGTTGCATGGTGCCAGATCCAGTGAGTAAGGTGGAAGAAGACAGTTTGTATTATTTTTATGAGTCTTTCCTACTTTTGGATGGCATTCAACAGCAGCATTCATAGTAGTTTTGACCACACCTTAAAAAGACTTTCATTTTTTTTTTTTGGTCCTTGCGCTTGCGCAGCAGGCGGGGAAACCACTAAGCTATATCCCTGGCCCAAAGACTTTCATTTTTTAAAGAGGACTTCCAGAACTGCTTCAGAAAGCGGCAGGAATGTTGGGATTAAGTTAGTTTGAAGTGAGGAGGAGCACTTTGAGGGGGATTAATGGGAATGTGTCTTTCAGTGTAATAAATTGTTTTAACAAATATAAACATTCACTGTACATTTTCACCATGCTTTGCAGTTTATGATATGACTACCATAGTGATAGTAGTCTTTAGTGACCTATTATAAATTATTAAATTATAGTCATAACTGTTCAACAATTATCTTTTTAAAATCTTTCTCTTTAGATACAGAAGTTTACAGTGAGTTTTACCCAGTGCCACCTCCGTACAGTGTTGCTACCTCTCTTCCTACGTACGATGAAGCTGAGAAGGCTAAAGCTGCCGCAATGGCAGCTGCAGCAGCAGAAACATCTCAAAGAGTAAGACAGCTTTATCCTTTCTTTTGATATTTAAAAAATTGATTATGTATATATTTAAAAATACCAAAAATAGTTCCCTGTGTAAGAGTGTAATTTTCCTTTTTAAACTACTTCTTGCATGTGTCAGTTTTGGTCAGGTTGGCACTCTCCTTGATAAATTCACTTCTGCATTCCTTGACATCCTTGTTTCTGTTGATCTTCACCTCCATCCCACTTCATCTTGTGGTCATCCTAGACCTTGTCTTTACCAATACATTTATTACTTACTAAATTTTGATTTTAGTTATCTTCATACTAACCTCTCATTCTTCCAAGTGATCGGATATAGGTATCCCACCCTACCAGTCTTCTATTTCACTGGGACCTTGAGTCCACTGACCTCTTCACTGCCTACATATTTATTTTTCTCTGTATATAATTTGGAATCATGGACTATCATTATAATCATGAGTCATCTTTTTTCTATTCATGTTTTATATATATTGCCTAGCCAGGTTAGTGACTCCATGAACGATATTAAGGTAGGCTAAAATGTGTAGAGAAATAACTTATAAGGCCTTCAAATAAGTTTTTTTCAGTAACTTCCTTTTTTCTTTTAATCATATCTCATCCTAGAATTTTGGAGTAATGATGTCCCAGCACTAGAGAGAGTCAGTGAGATACATGTGTACTATTATTCTGGTAGAAGGAGTGGCTGTCTCAGTAATGTAAAGACAGCAGTATATAAGCCAGGGCATGATAAAAAAATACAATGAATGGTTAAATTAAAAATAAATTTATTACAGTAAATGATACATTAATCTCCCTGAAAATCTCCCCCTCACTTGGAACACATGTATCTGGTTGTTCTGAAGTGGTTATGGAGGTCCTAGTTCATGTCCTTTTGTAGCTACCTCAGTGTCTTGATTCGGTTCTAAATGTTTATGGCAATTTCTGTCAAATAAAAACATTACAATGTGGGCTGGGGATTTAGCTCAGTGGTTCCAGCGCCTGCCTTGCAAGCGCAAGGTCCCGAGTTCAATCCCTGGTACCAAAAAACAACAAAAAAACCCATTACAATGTGTTGTCATCCACCATATTCACTGGACCTGGCACCATGCAACTTGTGGCTCTTTCCAGAAGTCACAGTGACCATGAAAGATAAATGTTTTAAATTAATTCAGGACATTGAGGTAGCCATCACTGTGCAACTAAACAACACTCGTGAGAAAGGACTTCCAGAACTGCTTTTCAGAGTAACAAGAATGACAGAATAAGTGTGTTTGAAGTGAGAAGAAAAATTTTGAGGGAGATTAATGGCAAAGTATCTTTTACTGTAATTAAATTCAATTTTAAAATCACCATATTTTTTGATCAACTCTTATACCATCCTGCCTCAGGTACAAGGTGAAATTATTTACATTTTAGTGTGGCTTTTTCTTTCTTTTTTTTCTTGTTTCAGACTTGAGAAGTGTCATTTCAGATCCCTGGATTCATCCTATTTTGTTCAGGCAAAGGACATAAAAAAATTATCTCACCCAAGAAAGCTAGAATTAGGTGAGAACTCAAGGGAGAGAAAATGCTTCCCGGTATGGCATTGTCCTCTTGCCACGGTGAGGCCAGACCCCAAAGGTAGAGCCTCTGAGGAGGAAACATGCTTCTGGAGGAGTTTTGTGCGTTAGCTACAGCCTTGTTCATACCTCTCCCAGCTGCCATTCTCCAAAATGCACAAGAGTTAAACATCAACTGGCTAATTAGGAAGCTAGGTAAAGATGCCAAACTCTAACTTTATTCTATATGCCTTTTCCTTTAGAAAGGAAAGTAAGTCTCTTTAAGACAGTAGCATGAATATAGCTCATTCATTAAAGATTTCTGCTGTTAATGAGGGTGAATCATAGACAACAAATACAAACCTATAAAGTAAGTAGTTTCTGTTAAAGTGAACTCTGGCCTGCTTAGAACATGTATGCGTTGCTTAGAACATATGTTGACTCCTCTCAGGGACTGGGTCTCTAGAGGTGTTGGCAATGGCAAAAGTCCTTAAATTGTATTATGGGCATTTGATCCTCAACTGCCTTAACTTCCATATGAGAGGAAAGAACTCTTAAGGACATAATCGGAAGCTTTGAATCTTGATATATGGATTCTGAGAAAAGTATAAAGGTGATTTATCATTTTTGGAGAGAAAACTTGCAAGTGTTACTGTTCCTTTCTGTCACTGTCATACCTATTGTCTTGCTGTAGAAGAATAGTGTGATCCACAGCCTGAATTAGAACACGTCCATGAAGAAAAAGTTCACTGTTTTCTCTGGTTCTGCTATGATTTTTTACTCCATCTGTGGGTATTATGGAAAATTTCATAGGAAGCAGAATAGAAATATACACAAGATACTTATGGCCTTGTAAGAAATCTTTGAGATTTATCAGTGCTTTCTAATCCAGAGCTCAAGCACCCTCTTTCTGCAGAGTATGAGTGTGTGTGAATCTGTAGCTGGTTTAGATTAAAACACCTGTTTGAAAATAGCTGAGAGTAGATTTTGTGTTTTCACTACAAAAAATAAGTATATAAGGTAATACATTAATTAGCTTGATTTAGCCGTTCTACAATGTATGTGTCTCTCCCACCCACCCCCTCTTTGTTTTTCTGAGACAAGGTCTTACTATATAATCCAGGCTGGCCTTGAACACATGGTGATCTTCCTGCCTCAGCCTCCCACATGCTGGGATTTACAAGTGTACATCACCATGCCCGGCAATGTATAATATTTCAAAACCTCAAGTTGTATACCATAAATATAAGGACTTTTTTTGGTTAGTGTTGTAGTCAGAAGGATTTGGCAAGGGAATACATTAAATATAGGACACATAAGATTATTTTATGATAATTACCCAAAGAGTCAAATGCAAAAGAGTGCAAGAAATTAACCGCACACTAGAAGCCCAAAGGATTCAACTGAGGGCCTAGATCCCAGCAGTTTCCCACACAAGTCCAGCTGAAGGCCTGTAGTCCAAGGCAGTGTGTCCTCCTTGAGCCCAGCCAGTGGCCTAGGGCCCATGGCAATGTTTCATGTTTGTCCGTATTGAAGATCTGCACCTGGAAAGCCCGAAGGCCAGAGGTGGGAGCCAGAAAGTCTGCGCTGGTGAGATGAAGGATTTCTGCTACCAAGCTGAGGGATCCACGTTGGAGCCAGAAAGTGATGTTCACGGTGAAGATCAGAGCTCCCCTGATGAAAACAGCAGCCGTTTCCAGTGAGGCCCCAAGCTCCTCCTCTGATGAGAACATCCTAGTTTGCATCAGGAAAACCATCCACGGCAAGCTTCTCCTAGCAAATCAACAGCCCAAGATCTTCCCCTCCAGTTCTCTTTTTATGGCTCTTGGCAACAATCTTCAGGTGGCTCTTTCATGCCCAGACCACGCTGATTCAGTTCAGCTGGGCATTACAAGTTGCCCATTAGTCCACCACAGTTAGTTAAAAAAAATTTTAAATTAAAAAACAAACCTGATTTAATTACTTGTATCTTGATATTAAATTTTTTGAGTTCTTAATATATTCTAGATATTAGCCCTTTGTCAGAGGAATAGCTAGCAAGGTTTTTCTCTAATTCCGTAGTCTGGAGAGAGAGAGAGAGAGAGCAATGGGGCTAGAGAGATATCAGAATCTAGTTTCAACCTTGTACAGGTGGATGTCCAGTTTTCCTACCATCATTTGTTGAACAGGCTATCTTTTCTTTGATGTATGTTTTTACTCCTTTGTCGAGAATCAAATGGCTGTAGATAAGACTTTATTCTTAGGTCTTCTGTTCTATTCCATTGCGCTTTTTTATGCCAGTACCACTTTTTTTGTTACAGTGACTCTATCATGTGCGTGCATGTGTGTGTGTGTGTGTTTGTGTGTGTGTGTGTGTGTGTGTACGTACACACACACACACACACACATATATATAT